TACTTTCAATAGTTCAGTTGCTTGAGAAAAAATCAAGGTTACCAAAATGAGTTCGCCCAATTATCAATTTTAATGACATTTTTTGCGTGTGAGTGAGTCGAAATTATGCATATATCTGTTGATGTTAATCATTAGTAGACTCATTACATAAAAAAACAGACCTAGTGGATTATTTTGAAGTTTCATCTTACTTTCTTTTACATAGTTCTTAGATGTGTTGGTATTATGTATTTTGAAGTAATGTCAATATCAAACTGATAATCACTTTTGTTTTCTCAAATATGATTGATCGGGATGAAATATGAAATGGACTTGTGTAATAATAATAATATTTATAATAATAATAAGAATATTCGAACTCCACAGACTCTCTCCAGATCACTCTGCCAAGATGGTTGTTCTGATTATTGGAGTCTTTGGTGGAATGATGTCCNGTATTGACGAGACACCGGTGTTGCCCTACGCTCCGGGGGATATTGAATCCGTTGTGGGGAACGAGAAGTGCCGAATTTATTGGAACTATTCGTTCCCCACCCTCAGGCTCATACAAGCTAATAAGCCTGATGTAGTCCTTCTCGACCACCAGACCAAAACGATATTTGTCGTGGAGTTTTCAGCTCCTGGCGTGACGAATATCGTCAGAAAAGAGGAGGAAAAACGGATAAAATATCGAGATTTTCTCTTCGAACTCCACAGACTCTATCAAGATCACTCTGTCAAGATGGTTGTTTTGATTGTTGAACTCCTTGGTGAAATGGTGCCCTCTCTACTCTCGAATCTTTAAATCATACCGGCTTGCCGCACTAGGGCAAAAATCTCTATCCATTTATTCTGATAAATGCCTGAAAATTAAACACTACTTCCATCAATTTTGAAAGATATATTATTTACATTGAATTAGAGATTTTTTCTGGCGATTATGAATACGAATAACCTGTGTTTGATCTGTGTTGGGAAATGAATCGTGCCTTTTGAAAAAACTGGATACCTACTTGGTTCAACGCTCCTGAACATTTATGTTCTAAAATTGTAGTATCAGGTGCAGAGACAATTAATGAAAAATCGTTAGCAAAGACTGTGTAACTACTGTCTTCAATTATAGAGCAATGCTGTTTACATAGAGAATGAACAAAATATGACCTAATATGGAGCCCTGAGGTACACCCATCGTTATGTTTCTACATTCAGAATTGAATTTGAAGGTACTATTATTTTTTCTCGTTTGCAATGACACAAATTGGTCTCGGTTCTGGAGAAATGAATTTATCCAACTAAGTGAAACATCTCTTTTACCATGATAATCCAATTTTGAAGCCAGTGTTTCATGATTGACACAGTCAAATGCACGGTTCAAGGACGATAATTTTCCATCAAAGTCGTGCCCCGTTTTTTAAATATAGTAATTACTTTTCCAGTTTTCAATTGTTGTGTAAATGGTTGTATTAATAAAGGAAGAAATCTGGATCCGAAGATCCGAAGATTTCATTTTCACGTTTTTTAAACAACATATGAAATAATTCTCTTTCTGTGAAGGATTCATAAATAAAGTAAAGGGATTGAAGTCACTTTTCAAATGAAAGTTTGTATTGAAATGGGTTTGGAATAAAATTCAAAATGTTAGGAAATACATGCAAAAATAGTCTGATTAGGTCTATCGTGACAAAATGTGTCGCATTATCAAGTATTGAGAGTTCCGGAACAACTCAATTATTTTCAAATCTTGTTGGTCAATCATACAAACAACAAATAATTATCCTCACAATAGGAGCATTGAGAAATCGATGTCTCAAAAAATCGTTGGAGAGTATGACCTGTTCTGTAATAAAATTCTTACAATGAAACAGCGGTATCCGAAATAAATGTTACTGAAAAACAAGAAGCTCTCTCTGCAGGTATTATAGTCATTAGGATATGTAATTTGCATTTACTTAAAAGATTCCACTTAATCTCTCGTCTGTATTATTGTTCATAGTAAGAACCGTACAATAAAGATTAAAGTTTATTTGAATCCAGGTAGTCTGTCAATACAAAAGGAGGATGGAAATAACCAATTTGTTCTTCTTGGTAATATCTAGGTGGCAAAATATCATTGAGGATTGAAGGAATTATTTACTGGTTTTGGTTTTTCCACAACTTTGATACAGGTTGTCTAGAAAAACACCACAAAATAATTTTCAAGAATTTTTAAAATCGTGTTCTGAAATGTCTTTCATGTACGATGTAATACAATGAATTGAAAGGAGTATATTTTTGGGAGAGAATAATTATTGGGAAAGAAAGGTTTGGCTTTTTCCTCCATCTCCATACAAGAAATGTGGGAATCTTCCAAAGCAAGAAAAAAAACCATATATTTCAAAATAGACTTTCAACTTACAATTGTTTACAAAAATATGTAGGTCATGCAAAGAAGTAACTTGCAGACACAAATTGGAGAAAAAACGAATATGCTTTCACATAGTAGAATGAAAACTCGAATAGAAAACAAAAATAGATCGAATATAATTCACAGAATTCCTTGTCAAAATTGTCAAAAGTCATATATTGGTCAGACATTTAGAACAATGAGTAGTCGTATTATCTCTCAAACGAGTGATTCTAAATGTTGAATTATAATACTAAAATTTTACATACTGAAAATAATCCTTCAAAAAGATCATTTTTTGAAATGGCTGAGATGAATAATGAAGAACATGCGATGAATATAAGATCGGACCTCAACAATCTCAGTAAAATTTATACATCTATTTTGAAAAATCAAAAAGAAAAAGTTATATCACCCTCTATTCACAATTCTCTTCCCTGATTTTAAAAATATGTCAGTGTCAGTTCCATTATTTCATCAATAAGTACTCTTTGATCATTCCCATATTGATTTCAATTTAAGAGCCACCGGTAGACAGCTGTTTCAGCCTATTAGGCATCGTCAGTACCGGGCAGGCGGTCCTCGATTGAAGACAAAATGTGAAAAATCAGAAGAGTACTTATCCATTTATATTTTGATTTTTATGGGATTATTTTCCAGCAGCTTGACTGCATTAACCTTTCTCAGGCGCAAGATCAAAAAATAAAAAAAAAACGAAAAATATCGCTATAATCAGTATAGATTTATACCATATCTGCAGTTTTTGTACTTTACCATTAAATAAATTTAAATATCAGAGCCATCGAAATGTTCACCGATTTCACTTCATTCCTAACGAGAGAAGGCTCCTCGAAACGTTTTGAATATTCAAGTTATTCATCCTCAGTCACATGTGACTCTGATTTGATGAGAGTGATAGTCTAGGGTGAAGTTTGTTTTTTTTTTTGGGAAAATGGTCTGGAAAATATATTTTTCGGCAAAATCAGTAGATACGAATTTCTTAAAGAGGAAAAGTATGAGTATCAATTTCTAAAGTGTTCATTTCAGTCAACTATTTTAATGAGTTTTTTTCGAAACATCAATTCAATAATTAGTTATAAGCAGTAACCTATAATAATCACTTAATTTTTGTTATTTGAAATTTATTGAGCATTGTAATTATATACAATTGCCGTCTGTTGATAGTAACTTGTTTGCTAAATATCAACAATCGAGTTTCAAAAGTATTCCAATTCAGAAATAACTACATATCTGTTTATTTCATTCTTATGAAGAGGGAAGTATGACACAATTGCCAAGAGAAATAAAAACAGTATCAACATTTTCTTCAATATTAAATCAGATGAGACGAATATATAAAGATTCCCACATTTTTTTTGTATGAAATTGGAGAAGTAGAAAGATAAAGCCTTTTTTGCCCAAAAATTAATCTCTCCTAAAAATAAACCCCCTTTTCAATTTAATCAAGATTCCTATGGACGTGTTTCGAGTATCTTGAGAAGGAAAATACCATCAACAGTGAATATTATTGGAACGTTTGAAGGCCGAAATTGCAAGGAAACAACCCCACATGGCAGAGAAAAAAAATTGTTTCATCAAGACAACGCATCGTGTTACAAGTCGATTGAAACAATGGAAAAACTACATGACTTAAACTTCGACTTCACGGACCTCAAAAAATGCTCAACGGTTATTGTTGAAGCCGAAGCCTATAAATCGTTCTACAAAAGTGATATTGAAATGTTAGAGCGGCTCTGGAATGATTGAGTAGCTCCTAATGGAGGTTATGTTCATGAATAGAGCCAATTTCGAACAAAAAAAACGCATTTTCTTTTTTAGGCCCGGGAATTTTCAACCTACTGTAATCCTGGACGAGAAATTGGAGACCCTAGTGGAGACTGAATCATCACAAACGATGCGTGGGATGGTGGAAGAACTGGGCGTCAGCTTCCATTCTGTTTTGATGGTTCAAAACGTATTGAAACGATAGACAGAAATCGTCACATTTTAAAGTCTATTCTTTGCTTTCGCGCAACCAAAACGTTCCTTTTTTGGATCGGATGGTCACGTGCGATGAAAAGTGGATCCTCTACCACTGGAGGAGACACTTTCAGGACAGCAGTTGGACATCGACGAGTGGCCCAGGTACTTCCCAGAGTTGGGATTCTCATCCCCAAATACCATGGACTACAACTTTCTGTAACCGGGCCAAACTATCCTGCTCCACGACGACGCCCGTCAGCAAGTTTCACATACCACCGTCTGAAAATGAAACGAAATGAGCGCTGAAGTTCTTCTTCGCCCACCATACATCCCAGACCTTTCGCCAACCGATTACCATCTTTTCAAGAACTTCGATAACTTTATTACTGGTAGAATTTCGCCAATCAGGACCAGGGAAAAACAAAAACAATCGTCGTCTACTTCATCGAATCCCAAACACACAATTCTCATACTAACGGAATTAATCGACTTGTGTTACGTTGACGAAGAAGCAATGTCAAATGGTATTCATTGAGATATTACAGTTTAAAGTGGATTCATAGAAACGGCCAAGACTGTTAAAACAACCTATTAAAAACTAATTTTGAAATAGTATGAAATGGTGATTTTCCACTTAATGGATAAATTTACTCACAGGGTGTTTTCACTTGCGTCACCACTTGATTAACCATGCTTTTTTAATATTTTCTCTCGCAATTCAAACGACTGGCTTGCAACAGCCGCTATCGTGTTACAGAGCATCAAAACACTAACATAGTTTCATAATCGTATTCAAATACTTACCAATGGCTATGGCTCATTATGATTACGATATCGGTAATACTTTATTTTATTATCACTTGCCAATTCATTTATTTGAAATTGATACGGCGCATGGGAACTTTAGTAATGGAAATGTACAAGACGGAGAAAAAGCTTTTTATCACAGTATGAATCTATCAGCATAATATTATAGAGTTGCCTTTGTTTTGATCTAATAGCCGAAGTTTTGTATAAATATTTAGTGATTTTAGTGTGGCATTGAGGTTTCATCGAAGTGTATTGGAATAAAGAATAGAAACTGTCACACCAAGAAAGTAAAAGTTGGTCTGAAAACTTCGTAAGCTAACATAGAAAATTTGTTTTCATAAAATTTGATTATATTTTTCAATATAGTTGCCTNAATCCCTTTAAAAATTAAAACCCAACATTTGAAACATCAATTTGAATACTTTTCGAAGTGAATTTGAAAAACTCATGAATTGAACTCAACTTTATTTTGTTCAAACTTGCATTTGCTGTAATAACACAAATTGAGGAGCATTCCCCATTTTGCATATCCGCACGGTGATTCAGGACCAACTCACCAAGATTTAAAAGCAATTTGAGAGGTGTGCAGTTAACATTCTATTATTACACAATGTGAATGTTGATTCGACCACAGGATTATCAATATTGAATATTTTTTTATGAAATTTGGTAAACCTTACCTAACCTCAATGAATAGTATATCGATGAACATAACAAAATGATACATGACAAAATGATACGATGTTGTTTATTTCTATAGATTCCAACAAATTCATCATTGTCACTTCTTGGCATGTGTGGCGAATTTTTTAATTATCTTCATCTATTTTATGTTTCGAATTTTGAAGTAGTCCATACATCAATGAAAATTATCTGGAATGACATGTTCATGGTACCTTATATTAACATTTCTACCAGTCTGGCCTGTATATATGACGGGTCAATCAAAGAAGTTCTTTTTATATCTTGATTTGTTTATAACTTTTGCAGTTTTTTATGTGCTAAAAAACGTATTCAGCACATTTTTCTTTATATCAATCTGGATCGAATGCACCATCCCTCGTATTTATAATAATAATAACTGAAACTAGACTAATTGATAATGTTTCGTTCATAAGATGCTCACTGGATGTAAGTCATAGATCGGGATGAGTTCAGAAACACCCCGTATACAACAAACACCACTCATTTCAACTATCGATTTCTCATAACACTTTTAACACCAACAAGTGCATCACTTTTTGTTTATTTTCAAACAGGTTCATAAATTTTTACTTTCAAAGCAAAGCGTCATTTGCATTCATGAGCGAATTTCTTTGTTCTTGACCTCTTTGCAGAAAACTCGTAAAATTCAATCCATGACTTGATTTCTAAATTACCAATCGACCAGCTGATCATAGATTCCATCGACAAGTGCAACGAAGGATTCTTCGGTACTTCCTTGGGAAATTTCACAACAATGGATCGTTACCGAATATATTGTACGGGATGTTGAATGTTTCATTTTTTTATTGAACTTTGTGGAAATTCTTGACGGAAACTTCACGTCATTCGAAAGAACCTCGAACTTTATTCGTGGTTGAAGAATCCGAAGACTGAGGCTTGTATTTGAGAAGAGTGAGCATGATAGGGCAGTGAATTTAATGTCAATAGCTCATTTGTTCTGCTCGTCATGCATACATTACCGTGCTTTTCTCTGGACAATGCGATTCCTTTTATATAACAGGGTGTGTTAAAAGATTTGTCCTTAACCTATGTATATTATGACAATGAACAACTTTCATTTAGTAAATTTTAGCAGCATTAGGAGTACCTATTCTGTTCCTCAAGTTTAGAACGACATGGTTATGGAAACTCAATAACACTGAATAAAATTATTCTGAATGAGATCAAAGAATGTCTGAATAAAATAATATACGAGGTACGTTCAAAAAATTAGGTGAATATTTAAATTTCGTACATTCAATTAGCGATCTTTTTAATGTCTTTATGTTGGTACAGTCGTATCGAACATATGTGTACATCTGTTTAACATGTTTGGTCTTTTTCACCAGGAAAAGAAGTTCAACGGACTTAAAACCTCACGAAATCTTCAAAAGCAAACTAAACTTCTCTGAAGAGGTGAAATACCTTAGTACTATCCTCGACATGTCAGGCATGTCCCGTGCGACTGTCCGGAGTTATGGTCAATAAGAGAGTGTGTGTTCGGCGAGTCTTGGCCTACGCCTGCCGATATGAAGGAGATGTCTCCCAGCGACCTGTCCACCTTCCTGGAAAGGACAGGATGGATGACGACCTAGGAGGACAACTCCTCGGGAGGATGTACAATGGCTCACATGTGGCCTAAGTGCGTGGGCTTACACTCACCCTTCCTACTCTACAGATACAGACACATGTTTAATTCATAAAAGTTGGGAGTGTTTGCCAGTTCAGCTATTTTGTGTTATAAAAGAATCTGTTAGAAAATTTGCACCAAATTATGTGTAGAAAATGGAATCAAATGCACAAAAAAAAATTGGAATGTTTTCAGGGGCACACAATGATTGTACTGTGATTCAGAAAAAGGTTTACAAACGGTACAAGCTTTTCAAAGAAGATCGAGAAGACTTGAATGACGATACTTTTCCTGGACGACCTAGCACATCAACAACCGTTGAAAATGTTGAGAAAGTGGAGAAAATTGTTATGAAGAATCGAATGGGTGGCTGCTTCTTCAGAGGTTAAACCATCATGGCTTGCTGTCCGATGACTAACTTTTTAGACTTCGTAAAGCGTATTCATGCCGGGTGATCAGTTGTATTGGTACATGCATTTGTACCTGTACTCGTACAGCTTCGATGTGGTGCCCTTGTTTAACAATGTCCCACTGGAAGACTCTCTGAGGGGGCTAGCCCACGTGTTCCCGAATAACGTCGTCGTACTCTTTAGAGCATGTCTCACAGGAAGTTACTTTCAATGGAGGGAAAACTTCTATGAGCAACTAGATGGCGTTGCAATGGGAATCCACTTAGCCCAGCAATTTATTTCATGGTTTGAAGGAAAAGCGATAGACACTTTTGAAATGGAGCCGACCTTGTGGCTACGTTACGTGGATGACAACTGGAAACATGAAAAACTGGAAACATGGGACGCCCTGAACCGTTTCCTAAACTACTTGAATGCCCAACACCCTAGCATAAAATTCACCATGGAGGTTGAGCAGGAGCAACGGATACCTTTCCTAGATATACTAGTAGAACGATGTGTTACTAGACTAACCTACGAAGTGTATCGAAAATCCACTCACACATATATACAGCGTGACTCACGGTCGATGGTAAGTTAGACGTTTCTGGAAAACGTAAAGCATGATTTTTCTGAAAATTTCACCTCTCACATTTTCTTACCTGTCCTATCGATCTAAAATATTTTCAGCATTGCGGCGTTGCCACTTCTATCAAAAAGTCCTAGCAACTTTATTTTTTTTAATGGAACACCCCGTAT